CCCCCCCCCCCAAACCCCCCCCACCCCACAGCTGAGCAGAGCTCAAAGAAAGGTGTGCAAGTGAGGATGGAGCAACTCCCACTACGGCTGGTGCCGAAATCTGCACCAGGTCCAGTATATGCACCAGGTCCACACTTCCGGAAGGAGGGAACAAGGAGAAGTTCAGATTTTCGGAACCAGGCAACAACGGAGAGAAAGGGAGAAAAGGGATCAAACTCATAAACGCTCACACTGAGGAGGGTAATGTACTCCAAAAAAAAAAGAAAAAAAAAAAAAAAGGGAGTAAAGTAGGGCAGCACGTACAGAGTAGCCATTGTATGCTGTCTTGAACATCGGCATTTTTCTTCCTCCCGGATTACTCTTTGTAGGCTTTCAGGGCCACCAAGTGTTGCCGCGTGTCAGCTCTTCCTCCCCCACTTGGGGTTGAGTCCGTCCCAACGTACACGTTTGACAGGCGCAATGATTAAAATGTACACTTGGTCGAATGATTAGTGTATCCAAAAAACGATTACGATAGGATGGCGTTTGTTCTGTTCTGTTCCCGGCGGTAATGGGCGTCGCTGGTCTACTCTCGACATTGACAAAAGACAAAAATCATGGAGGTGTATCTGTCCATGTTCTAGCGGAAGATTCACTCTCGTCTTGCACATTTCGAGAGTGGTGGACGGAGGCCCAATGTATGATGGGACAGGACTCACCGAGGTGTGTATCAACGGTTGGGTTCCAGATCCGACGGCCGATATCGCGAGGAGATCTTCAGAACTCAACCGTGGGCGTCAGATTCCCTTCTAGACACCTTCACCTGCTCCAGCGGAGCCGACAGCGAAATTAGGTGACCGCGGGGGCGAGGGAGGGCCCAGATTTTGTTGGGGATCAATTTTCGTTCTGGCCCCTCGAAGATGCTTCCATTCGAGCGCTGTCCCTCGGGAGGCCGGCTTCATTGCCATGCCCCGCCGACCTGAAAACGTTTCGCCGGGTACCTTCTGAACGAGGGGCCAACTTTGCAGCATGCCCCAGCCCATCGAAGGCCACCAGAGTGCCATGCTCGGTCTTTTGAACGAGGGGAGGGGCCAGCTTTGCAGCATGCCACAGCCCATCTAACGATTGACTTACCGTGAGGGCACGGGTGCGCAGCCCGTAGGTCGTTTGTTTATGTGGTTCGGGAAGGGTAAGGTAGTGAATCTGTTGTATGTATGTTTTGTCATGTTCGCTATACACAACTTGAAGAGAGTGTG